GGGATTTTGGGGGATTTTGGGGTCCCACGGTCGCTCCCCGCAGGCAGGCGCGGCTCAAGGGGCCGTTCCGAGGGGGATCTTTGGGATTTTGGGGGATTTTGGGGGATTTTGGGGTCCCACGGTCGCTCCCCGCAGGCAGGCGCGGCTCAAGGGGCCGTTCCGAGGGGGATCTTTGGGATTTTGGGGGATTTTGGGGGGGTGTTTGGGATTTTGGGGTCCCACGCTCGCTCCCCGCAGGCAGGCGCGGCTCAAGGGGCCGTTCCGAGGGGGATCTTTGGGATTTTGGGGGGATTTTGGGGGGTTGTTTGGGATTTTGGGGTCCCCCGGTCGCTCCCCGCAGGCAGGCGCGGCTCAAGGGGCCGTTCCGAGGGGGATCTTTGGGATTTTGGGGGATTTTGGGGGATTTTGGGGTCCCACGCTCGCTCCCCGCAGGCAGGCGCGCCTCAAGGGGCCGTTCCGCGAGTCCTACCTGTGCCCCGCGCAGTCGGTGAAGCCGCGCATCGACGCGCGGGAGCAGCTGCCCCGGGACAAGCTGAACCCGCCCACGCCCAGCATCTACGTGAGTGCCCATTGGCTGCCTGCATGGGCCCCCTCGCTGCTGATTGGCTCCCTGGATGGGTTTCTTGATTGATGATTGGCTGCCTGGATGAGTCCCCTCACTGCTGATTGGCTCCCTGGCTGCGTTTCTTGATTGCTGATTGGCTACCTTGATGGGTCTCTTGGCTGCTGATTGGCTACCTTGATGGGTCCCTTGGCTGCTGATTGGCTGCCTGGCTGGGTTTCTTGATTGCTGATTGGCTGCCTGGATGGGTCTCCTGGCTTCTGATTGATTCCCTGGATGGATCCCCCAGCCCCTGATTGGCTCCCTGGATGAGTCCCCTTGCTTCTGATTGGTTCCCTGGATGGGTCCCCCAGCCCCTGATTGGCTGCCTGGATGGGTCCTCTGGCTGCTGATTGGCTCCTCGGATGGGCCCCCTGCTTCCTGATTGGCTCCCTGGCTGGGTTTCTTGATTGCTGATTGGCTCCCTGCTGGGGATCCCCTCTCCCGATTGGCTGGTGGGCATCCTTGCTGCTGATTGGCTCCCTGGCAGATTCACTCTCTGCCGATTGGTCCCTGGCTGGATCCCACCCCTCCTGATTGGTCCATCATGGGCAGCTCTTTGTTGATTGGCTGCCAGAAGGGGACAGAGCTGCCAGAGCATTCCTGATTGGCCAATGGAAGACGAGACTCTCCTGATTGGCTGCTGGGTGGGGTCTCCCTATTGCTGATTGGCCAATGGGTGGGGGCTGAGTTTCCCAGTGAATCCTGCTGCTGATTGGCTGCCAGATCATGGCTTTTCAATCCTGATTGGCTGATGGGCCAAACCATCTCTGTCCTGATTGGCTGCTCAGTTGGGCTACCTGAATCCTCATTGGCTGGAGAATGGTGAATCAGGCCCTCTCCATCCTGATTGGCTGATGCCCTAAACCATCTCCATCCTGATTGGCTGTTGCTGTAAACCATGTATTTTCTGATTGGCTGATGCTGTAAACCCGCTCCATCCTGATTGGCTGCTGGTTGTTGGTGGGCATTGCATGCTGTGATTGGGCCCTGTGTGAGGGTGCTGCGCTGTGATTGGTCCTTTCTGCGGGTGCCTGGTGCTGATTGGTCCATGCCGGAGGGTGGCGGGCTGTGATTGGTCCCTCTGTCGGGTGCCGGTCTCTGATTGGCTGCCGCTGTTCCCAGCTGGAGAGCAAACGCGACGCCTTCTCGCCCGTGCTGCTGCAGTTCTGCACCGACCCCAAGAACCCCATCACCGTCATCCGGGGCCTGGCGGGGTCCCTGCGCCTCAGTGAGCACCAAAACACCCCAAAAACACCCCAAAAACACCCCAAACCTGCCCCTGGATCCCCCATCACCGTCATCCGGGGCCTGGCGGGGTCCCTGCGCCTCAGTGAGCACCAAAACACCCCAAAAACACCCCAAGCCCTGTTTGTGTGTTTCCCAGACCTGGGGCTGTTCAGCACCAAGACCCTGGTGGAGGCCAGCGGCGAGCACGCGGTCGAGGTGCGCACGCAGGTGCAGCAGCCCTCGGACCAGAACTGGGACCTGTCGGGGACGCGCCAGGTGTGGCCCTGCGAGAGCAGCC